ACCAGGATGTTATAGGCTAGTCGCGGGCGTTTACCATTCCAAATAAACCGAAGCAGCGCTGTGCGCAATTGACGGAAGAACGGGGCTGGTAGGGTAATGGGGAGAGTCTGAAGGAGATATAGAAAGCGGGGGAGAATGTCCATTTCAAAGAGCGCAATCCTTCCCATCCAGGAGTGTCGGAGAGAGGTTCAGGTCTGCAGACGAGAGATAGTAGATTGGAGAAGTGGGGCAAAATTCAGGCGATAGAGATCTGCCTGATCGGAGGACAGAAGTACGCCGAGATATCTGATAGCCGATTTCTGCCATTTGAAGTGGAAATGCTCCTGGAGGTGGGCAACCTCCGTCGAGGGGAAGGAGATGTTGAGGGCCTCAGTTTTATGTAAATTCACCTTAAAATTGCTGACGAAACCGAACTTTCGTAATTCCACTATCAAGGGGAAACCAACATGGGGGTTGGATAAGTAGAGGAGAACGTCGTCAGCGTATAGTCCGAGCTTGTAATGGTGATCCCGAACACAGATTCCTTGGATTGATTGATTGAGCCGTATGGCTTCCGCAAGATGTTCCATTGCCAGAATATAAAGATATGGGGATAGTGGGCTTCCCTGTCTGGTTCCATTCCGGATGGAAAAAGGAGAGGACAGTGAGCCATTAACCCGTACCCGAGCAGTGGGGCAGTTGTAAAGAGCCATGATTTTCCCCACAAACGAGTTTGGCAGTCCAATCTGTTCTAGGGTGAGAGTGAGGAAGTCCCAGTTAAGGCGATCAAATGCCTTTTCCGCGTCAACTGATAGAAGGCACATAGGAAGGCCGGCGGACTTAGCATGACGCATGAGTGTTAAGGTCTTGATCGTATTGTCCCTGGCCTCGCGGAACGGGACAAAGCACACCTGGTCTATATGGATAAGGGACGGGACGTATTGGCCTAGGCGATTGGCTAGGAGCTTGGCATAAAGTTTAAGATCCACGTTGATAAGGGAGATCGGGCGGTAATTAGAACAAAGCGTCAGATCCTTGCCGGCTTTAGGGATGATTGTGATATGCGCTTCTTGCGACTGGCGGGTGAAGGGACAGTCCGCTGAGAAGGCGTTAAAGGTGGTGTGAAGCAGGGGGGTTAGGAAATCCTGGAAATGTTTATAAAAGGCACCAGTAAAGCCATCCGGTCCCGGGCTCTTTCCGGAGGGAAGTCCCCTAATGGCGCCCGGAACCTCCTCCAGGGAAAAAGGTTCCCCCAGAAGGGCCACAGCTTCAGCCGGAAAAGTCGGGAGTGGGGTGGCCGCGATATAGGAGGCAGCTCGTTCGGGGGGGGGGGGGCCTGAAATGTGTTTTAAATTAATTTATTCTAAATGGCTTTCGCTTTATCAGCCCAGGCAAAAGTCAAACTGATGCTTTTTGTAATATGTGTCAGGTATTATTCACATTTGCTAGTTTTGGTAGGACATCTGTGACAGAACATATAGCATCCAAGAGACACAAGAGTGCAATGCATGTGCAAACTTCCAGTCATAAAGTGGATTCATTTTTCAAAAAGTATGAATCAAACTAAAATAATTCCACTTTAGCCCTGCAGGAGGGTACATTTCATACTGTTGAACATCACCATAGTTACAAGTCCATGGACTGTTTGTCTACTTTAATTAAGAAGTTTTTCCGAAAATAAATTTAGTTGTTCAAGAACAAAATGTGAAGCCATAATTACAAAAGTTCTTGCACAATAAGTAATGGAGGATCTACAGACAGACTTCAACTCTATATTTTACTTTTCTAATTGATTCACCCAACCATCATCATCTGAAATTATTTCCTGTTCTTGCTCGTTATGTTCTTTTCAAAAGCCAGGTTAGCAACTGTAAGATTTTAAGTGAAACAGAGCTTGTTGATTTTGTATAAATTGAAGGTAAGACCTCTGATATTCTAGCATCTTACACCCACTGGCGGAACTACCAGGGTCGCAACGGTCGCAATTGCGACCAGGCCCTGGAGTTCCGCCTGTTGGGGGGGCCCGAAAGCTTCCTCATGCCCCCCCCTCCAGATAGCGCCACTCCATCCTCCGCCGCTCTGCATGTATGAGCGGCATTAGAGAGCCCGCCACACAGTGTTTTTGACACTTGCGGACCGCAGTTCAGACAGAGACTAAGTGGGTCAAGACTAAGTGTTCATTCCATTAAATCCTTTGGGTGTCCTTTGGGTATTCAATATTATTTCAATATTCTTCAATACTGCATATACATTTTCTTCACTTGTCTTTTTCCGGGACAGCACAAGCACCTCCTCTCACCAAGACAGGGAAAACATGACCAACCTTTAAAATGAAATCATTCTGCCTAAATGGTCAGTATTTGCTTCTTCCTTGAGACAGAAAGTTTCTGCTGGAAATCTGGGTGGGAGATGCTGGCTTTCTTTTCAGAAGAAAAATTTCCTTATCTAAAAAAAATGGTTTTCTGGTCCATGTACATTGTTGTAGTTGCAATTTGTCCATTTAATTATTCCTATGTTTCATGATACAATGCAAAAAATTATTGAAACACAGGAAAGGTCAACAATAGAGTCCTCGCTAATCCTCTCATGTGCTGTGCTAGATAGGATAACTGGGAAAAATCATTTAGACTTTCCAGGACAGCAGGATTCCTTCCCTTTTTTACTTAGGATTACTTCCTTTGGTTCACATACTGACCAATTCGACAGAAGGACAACTTTTTTGAGTTTGATGTGTTTCTTATTCTTGTGGGTGGAGGTGCCCATCTCATTTGCTGTGCTGTAAACACTCTGCCAAATAGTTATTGCTTAATAATGACCAATGTGACAGAAAGACAACTTTTAATATTTTGATGTGTTGCTATTCCGGTCTGAGGTGTTCAGCTGTGTACTTGCTGTACAGCTGTGTATATAGCACTGACACTTGTACCTAACATGAACACTCCCTTGGTCTTTCACTTTAAAAAAAATGTTTTTCAATTTGCTGTGTGAATCCAGGACTGTTGGTCAGAACAATTCTGATTCTTTTGAAGATATTGTAAAGTTCTTTGGTTTATTGTACATTAAGATTGTTCCATGGAAATTTACAGACAGAGAGATGTGGTGATCAGACACTAATGTACCTTTATGTCAGAGTTTAGATGGTAGCTTTAAAAGTTTGCCTTACAAAGTTGCCTACCACTGCAATCATTCTACTGTTCAATCTAGAATCAGTTTTCGGTGTTTGTTTTATTTTCAAAACAAGGCTTGTCATGGAATTTAATTTGCATTGTTCTGCTGGACAATATAAACATATTCTTTCTGGAGAAAATATGCATATCTTGGTGCCTATTATGTGAGATCTTTTTATTTTGTCTTTATAAATTTGGTGGGATTTGTGAGGGTGGCTTAAATGTGGGTGTGACTGTGGGGGTGGCTAAATTTGGGCAGGACTTTGTGGTGTGGTTAAGAAGTGGGCGCGGTCAGTGGAGTGTCCCTAAAATTTATTTAGAAAATCTGATACCCTTACTCCACATGCATACATTGGTTTGTTTTCTTGCTGCTGGAACAGGTACAAGAAAAATAAAGAATGCTTGGACATGTTCTGAAGGGGAGATGGAGGTTGGGGGTAAATGTGAGTAATAGAACAGTAGAAAGGCATCATGGCACACTCACAAACTAGCATGTAAAACAACTTGTCTCACCACTAAGGACAATGACAGAGGTTTGGATACACGTCTTCTGCAAAGGATGTGTAAGCCGCACTGCCGCGCCAAGGCACCTCTTATAGTGCGGTCCTAACTCTAAACTATGAGAGTCTCCATCTTGGAGCACATGGGGCAGAAGATATCAAATTGGGTGCAGGCTTGTCAGGAGAATGTGAGTAATGTCTGGTAATACAATTAATTATTTACACGCTGTTCTCATAAAATATGCCAGTAGTTGGAGTGATTGATTATATTGTATTTGGTGGCACCTTTAGATCAGTTAGAACAAAGATGATTTCCGATTGGTCACTGTTGGTCATTCTTTACAAAATGCTCATGTCCTTTTAAAAAGCCTGAATAATAACCTCTTTAACTTGCATGTCTGGTCAAATTTTCAATACGATTGCAATAGAAGGTTTACCTCAGCAATTAGTAATTCCTGAATTCTCACAAAAAAGGTTCATGGCCAGGTCTTCACCTGAAGAGATCAGATAAGGCTGAAATGGCTTTTAGGTCCTCAGAACATCTGTTTAATGGCTGTCATGAAGCACATTTTATTGAACGCATTGATTTACTAGGAAGCTGCTCAATGTATAATAAAGTTAGAAACTAAGGGGATTTTAAGTGATTTAGTTGTCAGCTGTCTTCATGGGAAAATTCAGGTTTTTTACAGCTTTAGGCTTTCTACAACTGGGAATGTGATCAGCATATCTGTGAAGGTCTCATTTTAGTCATTGCTGTAGAATTCCATACCAAATATCACCGTTCTATATTGTATGGTAGAGCATTGGTTACAAATGTGTGTGTGCATAATACCAAACACAGAGAAGCTCTTCTAATATTATTTTAGGGATTACAAAGCTGGATTATGAAAGGCATATCTGTTAGAGATAGGGGGATTTAGAAATAAACCTTGACCCTCATAGGGTAACTTCACTTTTATTATAAAGAAGTAGGCAAAAGGCCCCTTTACATTAAGTCATTGTGGTAAACATGAAACAGTGCGGTACCATTTATATTAAACGCAACCCAATGCACCTAGGCTTTGCACTTGATGCCCAACATACTTGCACTGAAGTACTACTCCACAAAGCACATATGTGAGCCTGCTTGTGTGTTGTGGTGGACTGCATTAAAGAAATGCGAAATATATGGATTTATATGTGCCAGAGTGCGCTGGCAGCCCATTCAGGATAAATGAGCTGCTTAACACAATGCCCATTAACATCCATGCGTTACTGCTCAACCCTCCTTCAAATTGAAAAAATAAATAAATTAAACCTTAGATGCAGATTTGCATTGCCCTGGCCCACCTTTGCCAATGGCCTGTACATTAACATGCAGGCCATGGGCATCCACATAATGAATCAGTCTGAAGTAGCAGTACCCTCAGACGGCATCTCATGGGGGTGGGGGCGACTTCCTCCCTGGCTGAGAGCTTTCAACAGGTTCCAACAAGCTGATGCGTTTCAGAGGAAATTCCCCCTCCTTCAGAGCTCTGAAGAAGGGGGAATTTTCTACAAAGAGCGTCAGCTTGTTGGTCTCCTCCGGGGCCTGCTGTGTATCTTACTGTTCATTCCCTATGCTAACATGTGAGTAGCTTTCTATGTTATTTTATTTACTCCATTTAATAAACGTTATCATACGAGGAGAAGGCGATGTCTGTTTTACTTGTTTTGCATGTCTTGTGAGGCTAATTCCCAGTGGCCTTAAGGATGGCAGCCTATCCTCCAACAGTTGGTGATGAAGAATCTCTGAGCAGGGGTCGGCTGAGCGCTGTGGTGTACAGTTTGTAGTCCACATTTAATAAACTCTCAAAGTGTCCAGTGACAAAAACGTTGCTGTGATTAACACTGATCTGTATGAGCCACCACTGCCAAAACCTCACTTACCAGATGAGGTGGACCATTTAGCAAAAAATGGTCGTAAAGCACCCACCTTATGATGCAGTATCTGGTCTCCTAGGACCGTGGTATCCTATTTTCATATTTCAAATGGTGTATAGCTTATATAACACTTCTCCTCTCCTCTCCACCATGCTCCACATTTGCTCAGGGGGAAAACACATTAAAATTATTCATAGCGTAACTCCATAAAATTAACTTTATTAAAACAAAGTTTAAAAGCACTCACAAGAAAAGCCGCTCAGTCACAGCATATACTGTATAACATGCCCTTTGAAGCCGATGCTCAAGCCACTGCAGAATGTCAAGCCAATGCTCCAGCCGCCGCAAGATTGTTCCCACTTCCTGGTTTGTGACGTCAGCGTGTAACCGCCCTTCAATGCGTTTCATCATGTGACTTCTTTGGGTTCCTCCGTTCAAATCTCCACCAGAACGTTACCTGCAGGGACTTTTCATGTTCTCCCTGTGCTTGCATAGGTTTCTTCCAAAGACATACTAGTAGGTAAATGTTCCCTAGTGTGTGTGCATGTGAGATAGGGACCTTCTTATTTATCCTTATTCCTTACATAAGCTCCTTGAGGGCTGGGACTGATGTGAATATTTCTAGACACATGAGGCCTTTGATAACTTTATCCACCACTGATCTGAGGTCTGTGTTCATATTTAACATTTGATTAAATTAGTAAAAAGTTCAGTTGTCCTTTACAACATTTTCACTAAAAGAAAAAATAATAACAATCGTCCTCCTCCGCCTCCTCCTCATCATATCCCATTGCAATTGTCTAGTCTACGCAACTTCTACATCCTTTGGGTAAACTGTACTTTGTAGCTGCCATAACTGAATGCTCGAATTGTACAGTTTGTTCTCTTTTTGTGCCTTTACTGCCTCTGAAGTGAGAATTTTAGGGAGACAGCAATATGTGCCTGAAGAGGAAGGAGATGACAAATCTTTAAGGCTGGGTTCACACCTGGGCATACTATAGGCGCATTTTTTCTGCTCGTTTTTCAGCTTGTTTTTTATCACGTTTTTTCATTAAGGCCCCGTTCACATTGAGCTATTTACCGCGCGGTAATTCCCACGATATCGTGGCTATATACCGCGCGATATCGCTCTTCAATGCATCTCAATGTGGCAAAGGGTCCTGCTGTCGCAGGTCGTGTGTCGCTACAGCAGGACCCTTTTTGGAGCGGATTTTGCTGCGATTCTCGCTTGCTCAATGCAAGCATTTGCGCTATTTGAACGGGGCCTAAGTGAAACACTCGTTTTTATACCTCCCTGGCGGTATGATTTTTAAATGTATTTTTCCTTTATGTTCTCTATCTTTTTTTCTGTTTTTTTTTTTTAAACTTTCAAACTTCCCGACGGTTCCACACCCCTGCGACGCGGGCACTCGCAAGGGACGGAACCCGGAAGACTGCAGCGGCCGGGGGATACAGCGGGGATCGCGGACAAGGTAAGACCTACGCTGTATTCCCGAGTGTGGCTCGGGGTAACCGCTTTGTTAACCCCGAGCCACAATCGGGAATAACAATGGATATGCGCCGAAATATGCCCCAAAGAAGCTCCTGTACTTGTTTGGGCGTATGGCGTTTTTCAGCGCGTTTCCACAGGCTGAAATACGCCCAGGTGGGAACCATGCCCATAGGAAATTATGGTATGTCCCTTGCTGAGCGTTTTTTAACGCTTCGATCAGCGCTGAAAAACGCCCAGGTGTGAACCCAGCCTTAATGTGACATTTACAGTAAGTGCCCATGAACACCATAGTGTTGCTTTAATTGAGTGACACTGTGTGATTGATGCATGCTATTGCACAATGCACCTAGTGTGTGTTAATGTGCACTAGGTGCGTTGTGCTGGCATTCATCTAAATGGCACCCCAACAGATGTCCCGGCATCGGAGGCACAATTGGTGCCTCAATTCCATGTATTGTGGTGAAACAAAAGTAGTGCATGCACTACTTATTTTTCCACCTCAATGTACAGTATTGCAGTACTATGCACTGTGTTGTGTTGCACCCATGGGGTTCATTAGGGTGCCATTCAAATGAATGGAAACTCAATGCATCTAGTGTGCAATAACGTGCACTTGGTACTTTGTGCGATAGTGTGCGTTAATTGCATGGTTTTATACGATTAATGCAATGGTACGGTATGAATGGACCCTAAGTGGAACTTCAGATAAAACAATATCTGTCAAAAGTTTGTAATGCTGTTCAGCTAGTTTTTTGACACACATTCAGCACACTGCCCAGACAGGTGAGTGACACATGCTTATTCCTAGTCTAATACGAAGGTAGGTAATACACATGCAGTATCTGCAATGCTGAAGCAGGAAATGGTAGAGCCATCTTCCCACAGAGGTGTGAGTCACAAGACTGATAGAACTATGAATCGTTTGGCAAGTTTAGCAGTTTACATCTATGTATTCGAATGGTCTTACAAAGCATTGATTCATCAATTGTCAGGTGTGCACACAATCAGCAGAGAGATACGTTGTGAAATTTTACGGGAAGAAAGGGCGGAGAAGTTTAGTGAATAGAGACAAAAGGGGATAATGTATCTAATGTTAATCAAAGACATAAAAACAGAATCTCTGCTGGCACAGAGCTTAGGGCAGAATTGTGCCTGTCCTGTCACAGGATGTTACGTCTAAGGGTCAATTCACACCACATGAGTTGGGGTTGTGGTTGGAACGCGCTAGTGTGCTCTGAAAATAAAGTATGGCATGCCTTACTTTTTTTTAGGGCAGTGGTCCAACTGCATTGCACCCTGCTGTGGCCATAGAACTGAATGAAATGTCAAAAAAGTACACAGTGTGATGTGCTGGGATTGAGGCATCTGCACTGTGCTGGGCACTGCACACCAGCCGCTGTGTGTTTTAGTGCAGTGGCTGATGTAAATGGGCCCTAAAACTGACCCTTCACCAGTAGAATTTAATTTGAAAAAAAATTGTTTTCCGTGTGATTTTCTAATAGTTAATGAGGTCAAATCAACAATGGTTTTTTACTGCAGTGATGAAAGAAATCTAAGGAGCAGGATGGAAACATTTTCTTGAACAAATGAACTTCTAACAGTGAATGTGGTTTTTCGTAGGAGAAACTTCATTTATTCCAAAATTGAATGTTAAAATCAAGCGAAATTTCAAGTGACATTTGTCAAGTCTCTGAGGGCATTCCAAAATGTTCTGATGAGATTTTTTCCCTATAAATGTTCGTATGAAAATCTACCAGTGTATGGTCAGCAAAACCCTTGAAGAAGTGAGACTATACATGTCCGGATCTCGGTCGCCTACCTGCTATGGGTAATGGCTGGCTGACAGTGGACATACCGGCCTCCGAGGCTGGTGCATCCACTTCCGGCCATAACTCAGTGCAGACCTCCCTCTGCTTTAGTCATTGGCTGCTAGGACTGCTGGCTTCCTAGCAACCTTTGTCAGACAGGCAGGGCCAGCTCTTCAACTACAAGTGATCTGGGCAGCTGTATGGCCACCCAGAACGCTTGTACAGGATTGTGCTGCTCCCCCCTCTGCACCTCCCTGCCGTGGTTTTTGGGTGCCCCAATCCTCTGGGGGGCCCGGGACTATGGCACACAGTGTCAGGATGTAGAGCGGGAGCAAACCAGGGAAAGGATGTTCAGCACACCAACACACCTTAGAGAGTTTTATAACGGTTTTACCAAACAATTTGTGCATATATGTAAGACAATGCAATAAAAAACACAATAATTGAAGAAAATAGCACTGAACAATATACAGTGGGTATTCTGACAGTAGCCACGGCTGTCCGTATACTGAAATACGCAATATTAAACTGCCTCAGATACTATCCTTCACTTTGAATACTGAAATACTAATGTCTCAGTCTCAAATAATATTTGACTCTCTATACTACTGGCCAGTAGAAATAGTCTAGGCCAGTGATGGCGAACCTTTTTGAACCCGAGTGCCCAAACTGCAACGCATAATCAATGTATTTACCTCATTGTGCCAGCGCAGAAAATAAGTTTAGTACTGTATTGCAGTACGGGCGCTCGGGTTTAAGAAACGTTCAACATCACTACCTTAGGCCCCATTCACACCAAGCGACATACCTTACAAGCGGGGCCGGGATAGCGCGACTGTTCAGGGCGATGTTCCAGCGACGATCGCGCGACCTTCATCGTCGGGCTGCATTAAAAAAGAGAAACATCGCGTGACATCCGCGGGAAAAAGGGTCCTGCTGAAGCGACGGGCGACATGGAGCTGTACATTAGAACAGCTCCATTGAATAACATTGGCCGGCGACTTCTTGCGATATCGCGCGGCAAAAATGCGAGAAATAGCGGGATTTTACGCACAGTGTGAATGGGGCCTTAGGCAAAATAGGGAAACACGCATATTTAAACATTTATACACTTAATAAAATACATACACACGTAATGAAACACACTCATCACGCACTTATTAAAACACACACATTACACACACACAGAACTACTAATAAAAATGAATAAATAAAACGTTGCCCCCTCTCCTGCATACCTGTTTTGCAGGGAGGTGGGCTGCATCCCTGGGGTCTCTCATCTCTCCTGACGGGGGGCTGTCTG